TATTGATTCTTCCAATCCAAGAGCATGGGTTATCTTTCCATTTCTTTAAGTAATTAATTTCCTTAATCAGTGTTTTGTAGTTCTCATTTTATAATTAATCTAATAAAGTAGGAAGCAGTAGGATGGCCCTTATGAATTAGGAATCAAAACTTAAGATCACTAAACCTAGCTTAGCTTCCAAAAGGGATAAAGTTAATACAAAACCTGAAATATAACAACAAATCTAGTCAAGTAAAAATAAGTATAAGTTGCATTACTCTTACCAGACTGATACTGTACTCTAATAAAGTTTTAAAATAATTTACCTCAGCCAATTACTCAAGCATTTTCTGAAAATAGGTGAGTACTTCCTTTTTCTTCTTCTTCCACATTTTAGAAGTTACACAGCATTAGTTAGAGTCAATGCTGAAAAAGAAATGTGAGAAGATATATAGAGCAAAATGATTTCCACTAGCCTTGACACCTACCAGACAAAAGGTTTGTGAACGTGATGGCAGGGTTAAAATTCTGGTATTCAAATTACAGGAGAGTCATTTATTATGGATGTATAATATTTGCATGTTATCTTTTGCTCTTATTTCTAAGTCTTAATATCTTCCTTTACTCCAAATACTTAAAATATAAAATGTCCACATAAAATATTATCTTTGACTTACTATGAGGTAAGCATGGTAAGGTATTTCATTTGAACCTCATCTGACTGCTCTTTTATTAGCTATTTAGAAGATCACGGAAAAGATTTTAGATCTCATCAAATACTTCTAAACCCTAATGGCATATATCCCTCTAACCAACCTATGCAGCGAGCTACAGTCTAGGCTTTTAAGTTATACAAGTAAAGAGAGAGCAAAGCTAACATGAGAAGAAACACCTCTGACTGTTTTATTTAAGCTGTTTTGAGTTTTGTACAAAGAAGTAGAGAAGCCAATGTCTGAAAAATTTGTGTTGAGATGATTGCAAGTGATGGGTATACACTCATATACTATTTAACTTATAGCCGGACAGGCTTGAAAAGTAATTTTAAAGTTCTAGGCTCTCCAATTGTACTGGCTTGGGGTTTGCTGTAGATATTTTGTACTGCAATCTTTCCTCTTACATTTCATTTCAAAATATGTTTCAGATTAAGTTACATGTACTTTCAAAACATAGGTTAAAGATATAAACAACATTATTGTCTTACTATTTTAAAATGGCTTTGTATCAGTCAAGGTTCAACAATAGAGCCAGAACTAACAAGAGATATACATCTAAAACTATATCTAAGACTATCCATCTACCTATCTCTCTCCTATTTGTCCTCTTATTTGTTATGAGACTTTTTACAGGGAACTGACCTATCAAACTATGGGTACTAGTGCACCTGTCTTTGCAAGACTGTTGTCTAATCTGATGCTGTAGCTTAAAGCTCTTAGGAAGGGGAATCCACAAGGGAAGGTCATGAGTAGGGTGAAATCCACATACATGTGCTTGAATCCCACCAGAATAGGCTGAAACCTTTGTCCACTCTTGTTTCCAACCTTGGTGAGGAGGATACCCCACAGAAGCTGGAGCCAACACATACTGGGCCTACAAACCAGAGAAGCTCAAATGGAATCCAGGTGTCAATAGAGACGTTGCAGGCCTGCTCGCGCTTCACACCAAACATATCAGCAACCACCTTTATGCACTCAAATAACTTGCTTCCCTTCCATTTTTCACATTTCACAGAAATCTCCCTTGTGGCCCACCCAAAGCTGAAATATATTTAAAAAATAGAAATCTAGAATGCTTAGTACAAATTAACACATCTTGTCAAATTAACACATTATAAAGCTATCAAATCTTATTTAATACTTTTTATTTGAAATGATCAACCATCAGTACCACTTTCTAGATACCTTGTGTGCATTCAAAAAGAATGACATAGAAATTTACTGAATATAACTATCAGTAGAAGCAAAAATATAGATACACAAAAACATAAATCTTCACATGATTCTTCCCTCAGACTATTTTTTCCCTAGTTCATTTTATCCTATTGTCACATACTTTCTTTGGGAAATCTTTTCCTCAATTTTTTGTTTTGAAAATTTTCAAACCCACAGAATAGTAGAAAGAATAGTGCAATGAACACAGGTATTCCTTTTACCAAATTTATACTTGGCACTCTCCTTTAATCATGCTTTCTTAATTGTATACCTCTCATGACACACACATACTTTCTTGTGCTTGATTTGAGACATGAATTTCTAAGCATCATGATACTTCACCTTAAGTACTTCACCATGTATCTCATAAGAGGAAAAGACATTCTCTTATAATTGAATTGTCTTATCTGTATGCTTTATAAAAGTAGTAATCCGTATTCTAAATCTATAATTATAATTGTCACCCACTTGAAATTTAACATTATCTGTTACTTTTATTTAATGTTGAATCCTTACTAAATACTGCCCAATTATTCCTAAATGTCTTCTATGGCTTTATTTCATCTACTTTTTTTCCTGGTCTAATAGCCTGTCACAGATCATGCATTTCACTTAATCAATATGTGACTTTGGTCTTTTTTAATATAGAATTTTTGTCCTGCATTTTTAAAATTCTGTCATGCAAATTTTTAAGAGTGAAAGCCAGTTTTTTCTTTTTTTCCAGATCTCTCAGTTTGGGTTTGTCTGATATTTGCATTATTTGGGAAAGTACATTATAAGGAGATATTTTTATATGCTGTGAGACTTGAGACAAATTGAATTTTTGCTGATGCCCAATACATACATATCTTGGAAAATGTCTGTCTTAGTCCTTTAGCTATATTTTATTTTTCCCTCTAATACCAGGTTTGCATATGATGACAACAGAATATTTCTGGCTTTTAGCTATATTGAAAGGTAATTACACTTATATTTCTATGGTTACCAGGACTTTGATGGGTAATATCACTGTTGAGGGATGGCCTTTCCTCAAGTATGTCATATCCTTTAGTAGTCACATTGTATTCAGGAATGGGATGCCTAAAAACAGAAGTATGTCTATGCTTACATTTAGATTTATTGCCTATTATAAGTAAAAAATGAGTAATAAAATCCATCAATTCTACTTAACAGATAAGGCAACTAAACTGTAATAAGGTTAAATGCTGTGCAAAAAGAAACATTATTTAAAAAGGAATAAAATATTTAGCATAATTTCTTATTGAAGTATGGTTTGATTTATGTTAGTTCAGATGTACAGCAAACTGGTTCAGTATTTTTGCTGTTTATACTCCATTACAGGTTACTACAAGATAATGGCTATAATTCCCTGTGCTATACAGTATATCCTTGTTCCTTATCTACTTTATACATAGTAGTTACAAGTTTGTTTTCTGTATCTGAGTCTGTTTTTGGCTTGCATATATATTCTTTTTTGTTATTTTTTAGGTTCCACATTGAAATATCATTAGCATCATCTTTCATAATATGGGTTTTAATTGTATGTTTTAAAGTTTCTAATTTTTGTCTCAAAATGAAATGTGGATGTTAAAGTTTATGAAATAAAAATTAGTGTGAGGTTACATAAGTGGAATCAAGTGAAAATTAAGCAGCAATATTTGTTTTACTATTGCTATATCATCTATTAGGAGGGCCTGGGAGTGAAAAGGAAGGAGTGGTGTTTTTAAAAAAAAATTAATAATACATCCATATTATATATGTGGATATTGATAGAAAAGGATATTGTAGATTTAGAATTTTTAAAATCTATCAGTGAACACACAGTAAAGAAATCTATCAATTTGGGTAGATAGTAAATGTTTTGACTTTTAAGAAGATACCTTGTTTGCAAAGTGGGGAAGACCCTGTTCTACATTAATTTTCAAAGGATCAGATATTTTGCTTTATTTCATTTTAAAGCTGTTTGTTTTTTAATAGGTAATATATATGAATATCCTTAAAAATCCCCAAAGTAAAATGTGATATTCTTTTCAAATCCTGTTTCCCAGCCACCTCCTTCTCTTAGAAGCAACCATACACCTGTTTTTTATACATCATTCCAGAGATAGTTCTAAGTGTTTGCAATCACATATACCTACACCAAGTGAAATATTTGGATCTGACATAAAAAGGAGACCCAGGATTCTCTTCTCGTGTCTGCTGGTGCCTATCTTGATTGGTCACCTCTGTCCTGACTCATATCCACTAAGCTTCACCTATAATTTTAACTGAAGTTTGTAGGGTATTTTCTGTGAAATCTTCAATTCACTTCAATCTAGTAACAACTTGCTTCAAGAATACTGTATCTCCTCAGTTTTGACCTTCTGGGTGTACCACTTATTTAGAGAAATAAGCTCAGCAGCAAGAGGACTTACTTTTTTTCATTGTTAGTGCTGACAGAACTCTATTAATATGCCTTCACTTGTGCATTAAGATTATTGTAACCTTGTTTGTACCCTAGACTGATAAGGTCTAGAGAAAGCTGGTTCACACATTTGTTCTTCCTGGAATCAAAAGCTTTCAAAAAACAAGAAAATTTGTTTCTTGTGAAACTGTCATCTTAAATATTATTGAAACATGCTAGCAAGTCTCACACAAACTATTACTCTAGTTCAAAGAGAACAAGTAATTTTCATCTATAAAATCTTAATGGGAGCATCATTTGACCATTTTCGTGACAAACCTACCTTAGTAAAATTATGACACAAAAGCAGCACTTGATCCTTGAGAAGGAGCAGGGCTTCATGAATATTGTATCTATTAGCTTCGCTAGTGTTGTAATTTTTCTTCTCAGTTTATATGAAACAATCGAAACATCTGATACTGATCCAGTACACCTGAAATGTATAGCATAGAGAGAATGGCCATGTAACACTTAAACAATTAAAATGTATGTAAAGTGACTTTTTTTACTCATTGCTTTTTTTCAACTAAAATTGCTTCATGTAGCAAAAAAACTTAATACTTTCTTTTTATCATATACATACACAGAATTTACTTGTCACATGCATTTTCATAAAATACTGTAAATCGACTTTAACTGGATAGGAGTCTATGTAAAATATCTATACATCTTTTCTAGGTCAGAAAGAAAAAAAGTGCTATACCAAGGAATTTTGACTACAGATATTATGGAAATGGGTATGGGATTTGACTGTCTATTAGCTGTGTAGTCAGGACACACCCATGAAATGAAGAATTATGGGGTCTTCAACTGACCATCTAAAGGAAATGCAAGTCTACTCTGAAAAGACAGAGCCTTATGCTAGGCCTGTCAGGATTCCTAAAATTAAACTCCAGTTAGCATGAATGTATAATACAGAATTAAAAGTCCTACCAGCTAAAAGCTCTCTGAGTAAAAGCAGCATTTATAGCTAGATTATAACTATATAAATTTGTTTTATTGCCAAATGTTTGCTTAGGTTATTTAAACCAGGCTGGAGTATTGAATTCCAGCTTTCTTCTCCTTTGTGTGTCTGCCTCTTTTGGAGTTGGGGGTTGAATTTTTTTTTCAGCTATTATGATTTGCATTTCTAATTTTCTTCTGTTACAGCTTTATATGAAATTTGTTTTGTTCTGTTCAAGCATTTTGTGTACTAGATGGTGAGCTCAGGAGTGCCCTCTTCTGACAAGGTAGTGAACTTACGATAATCCTCTTTTCTCACCGCCACCAATCAGAACATGTCTTTTTAAAATTGTAATTTCTTCATGATTGTTAATTTTCTCTTTTTTTCCTTTTGTGCTTTGCGACCATATCCCAAGAACACCCCTCCCTATGTATTTATCGGATTCTCTCCCAGAAGCAATTTTACTTCCACTCTGTTCTATCTAGTCCTTGTTTTCAACTCTCAGTCTTATAGCTGGTGTTAATGACCAACCAAGCTGTGAGCCTGTTTAGTATTCTGGCATTTACTGTTGACTTTTTTTCCATAGGCTTTCTTTCTCTATCTCCTCTACCCTCTCCATGCTTTATCTGTGTCTTCCAGACTACTCTCCTCTTTTCATTGTGGTTTTAAAGTCCTTGTTCCTTACTTTCTACTTTCACAGATTTGCAACAACAGGGGGAGCTCCAGTAAAATTTGGTTATTTTTCTACTAAAAGGTCGTTTGATATCTGTGATCTCCATCTTAAAGAAATACTAATGGTAAATTTTATATAATGAGTTTTTTTGAGTTCTCTGTGGTAAAAACCTTAGGGTTTACTTTTGAGGGTTGCCTTCGAAACTGTTAGGGCTGTCTCTTATGAAAAGCATTTATACGTATCTGACACTTTTGTTACTATTTTAGGTAAGTATATCCACTGTTTATGACATTCCATTCTTTTTTTAGCATATTTGAAGACTTCATGTCACTCCAGTCCTAAATTTTGCCTCCACAGAGAGTCATTTTCATGAGCTCACAAACTATCTACTATGAAAAACAGAAGAAAATTTTCCATTTTACACATGGTTCCCAAGGCTTCAGTTGCACTGTTCTCTGGAGTTGTTGTGCTCTAATGTATTATGTACCATCTCTACCTTTCCTCCTCCCATTCTCTTGAATTTATTCCATTTTAGTCAGCAGTTCCCCTATTTAATTGTTTAACGTGAAAACGATTAACTTAGAAGTATTTTGACCTTGATAACTGCAATAAGAGAGTTGATCACTCACTCTTCCTATACTTTCTTCACATGGTCTCTGAAGTGGCATAACTACCTCTTTCTTCCCTACTTTATTGACTGCAAGTCTTCAGTTTCCTTTGGTGAATCCTTCATTTGTTCTGACTGCTATTTGCTAGGGTGTTTTCAAATTAAAATCTTAGACATTGTCCCTTTTCCTTGTTTATTGTCTCTCCAAATGGCCACAGAGAATGGAGTTATATAAAGGCTAGTTAATGGAGATCTGGCAGAGATAACAAAGAAAGATCTGATATCATATGAGGGAAAGTAGTATCTGAATGAGAAGTATGTCAATAATGTCAAATGATACAGAACAGATAAATAGAATGAAAACTGAAGATATTCTATTGAATTTATTAATAAAGAGATCGTTAGTAAACTATAGATAAATCCATTTCAGATGCCAAAGTGTAGTAGACTGTGGAGTAAGAAGGATGTGAGGAAATGAAGGCAGGAAGATATTTCATAAGGCTTGGTTACAAAAAGCACCTAGGAACCAGAGAGAATGAAAAATAGAGATACAGATACAGACTGATCTAAAGGCAGAAAGACAGAAGAGAGGTGCTATAGACTGAATATTTATGTCCCCCATAATTCATCTGTTCAAATGCTACCCCCCAATGTTATGATACTAAGAAGGGGAGCCTTGAAAGGTGATTAGGACAAAAGCCTCCATTAATGGGATTAGTGCCTTTTTAAGAGACCCCAGAGATCTCCCTCACCCCGCTTGCAATGTGAGGACACAGTAAGAAGGTGGCTGTCAGTGAGGAACAAATGTTTGTTGTTTAACTCACCCAGTCTATGCAAATTTTGTTTACAAAATTTGTTACAATAGACTGAATAGACTTGGAGGAGGGAAGATTTTCCCCAAGATGAAAGGATTTAGAGAATCTGTTTACATGCAAGCAGTTAGAAAATTCCATTTGGGGTGGAATATGTAGAATACACCATGGAAACTTTAGAAAAGTGGAAGGAAATATATTCCAGAACCCAGAGGGAACAAGTTGGCTTAGCTGGGATGAGCAAAGGAGCAAACTGAAGATGGGTCCAGGTGCCAGTAGATAGGTAAGTTTGTTAGCAGAACATTAATAAATTTCTCAAGTCATAGCTTCCAGTTCTATTTTATCTAGTATGAGATGATAATATTGCATTAATACCTCTCAGGATTATTCTGTTTATCTTAATTTCCAGAAAATATATATTTCTTTATTACATAGTAAGGGACATATGGGAGGATCATGATAAGTATATTGCCAAAGTGGATTATATTTTTGTCAAAAAATCAGTATCACATGGATAAGTGTGCAGACACTAGAACAAGGCTGCTAGGAATGAAATATTAGCCACCTGTCAAACCAATTAGGTGATCTTAGGCAACTTGCTTAATCTCTCTGGGGTTAATTTCATCACATGTAAAATTAAAATAATGATAATGCCTACTCCATAGGACTCTTATGATTATGAAGTGAATTATCATTTGTACAACTTCTGTTTAGAAGAGTGTTTGGCAAATAGTAAGTACTTATGTGTTAGTTAAAATTAATTGCAGATATCAGCTAAATGATGGATGGAAAGTAGAAAGACCTGAGCCCATCTTTTAGAGGTGCACCAAAGTCACAACTATTTGCAGAACAAACATTGATGAAAATGACCAGAACCTACTAGAAAATATCTTCTACAACTAAAGACATAAGAAGGAACCACAAAAAGACGAGTAGGAGGGATAGACTCACAATACAGTCAAGACGCGTACTTCCAGGTAGGTGACACACAAACTAGAGAAAAATTACATTGCAGATGTTCTCCCATAGGAGAGGTCTGAGCCCCAGATTGGGCTCCCCCAGCCCAGGGGTCATACACTAGGAAAATGGGCCCCAAGACATTTTTGGCTTTGAAGGCCAGTGGGGCTTAATTTCAGGAGTCCTACAGGACTAAGGAAAATAGACTTCACTCTTAAAGGGCACACACAAAATTTCACACAATCTAAGAGGGCAAAAGCAATAATTTGACAGGAGCCTGGGCCAAACCTACCTGCT